GGATTTCGATATTTTTTTTCGTAAATTCGTCTCGATTATTCGAATGGCGTTGGAAAGAATTTTCCTCTTTCGTGAACAGAACAGATGATGCTAGTAGAACGACAATTGAACATTGAAGTCGATAAATGCTGGTTATTCGAGAGTGTTGAAGAAAAGTTTGAAGAAGAGTGTTGAAGAAATGCAACAATGATATAAACATTAATGATATAAACATTATCGAGCTTTGTATTCGGAGACCACTCGAATCTTGAATTCTTTACGATTAAACTTCGGTTCTTTGAGAAATGTGGTGTAACTGAAGTTCGAGCTCGATAAACGTAAATTATTCTAGTGATAAATTCGTAAACATAACGTAGAAACCGAATGTAACATAAATTGAGTTTTGAGTTTGAGAAACGAGAACGATTATTTAATTGTTAAACATCTAGAGAAATATAATTTAATAACTTCAGCAGATCATTCGATGATTATGGCAAACTTTTTCTTCGCAACATAGATAAACGTAAATGACCGTAGTCAAAATTGTGAATTTCGATTGTCATACAAAATCGATTGTCGTACGAATCCGTTCGCCACAGAGGATCTTCTTCTCTGCACGTTCATGAATTTAGGTATCTCGCGATTTCGTTTTCAAGAATATAATTTTATAAATACCGCGTGATATTCAAGAGTAACCTCTATCCGATATCCGTCCGATATCGACAGATCTATCTTTGCTGCTCACCGAGACACAAGATTCCTCGCCGTAGCAAGACTCGATAGCATCTTAGATCGTAGATTGACGTAGGTTACGTAGACATTAGAACAATTAAACTGTTACTACAGTTACTACGTCTTTACGTCCTGTTGGAGCGAATGTTTTCGATCGATTAACACCTGTGATAATTAAATCTAGAAAGCAAGGTGTATGACCGATTTATTAATAACACCTATATAACCAGACATGTTCAGTTGCATGATGTAACGTCGTTCGAATAAACAAGCATACGTAACCAACGCAACGCATACCTTTTTTTTTCCAGTAATGCACCAAATGAAAATGCATCGAAAATGAAAACTCCCGAGCTCCTTGATTACCGAGTTGTCCTGCCGCTTCTGAATATCGGTAACTTTCACCGGCGTCCAATTCTGCGATCGCTCATTTCCGTAGTCCCGTCCTCGCCGAGCAGAAACCCGATCGGATTGAATGATCAAGCAATAAAGAATAATCCGAACGAACGCTCGTTAACTCCCCTATTTTCCCCTTTAGTTTTTGTGTCCAATGTTGTCCCTCTCTCGTATTACGAAGAGACTGAAAAGCTTCATCGTCGTAAGGATACAGACGTTTACTTGATACTTCGAATCGGAGAAAGGACGGCCGTAAAATTTGATCAATCATTCGTATCATGCACATGTGCGCGATGTGCCCGAAGATTCGTAAAACGCCGTAGTTCGCGAGAGCTTCGCGAGAAACGATAAATACCGTCGGGGAAGAGAATTACTATCGGAGAGCTCGCGCGAGCGAAAGTCCTCAGCGTGTCTCATCAGCGTCCTTCATCAATCAAACCTTCCCTCAAGGTAAAAGCAGCAGGTCGTTATCTCCGCCGCCGTGGCGAGCAGCAAAGCCAACAGCAGGCAACCTTCCCGATAAACCATGCACCGACGAGAACCGGGGGTTTTCATCGCGCTGGCGAAGGTCGGCGAAAGATAAAAGTAAAAGGTATGCCATTTTCGTGACGCCACCCCTGACCAGCTCTCGAAATTCTCTCGCTCCATCTCCTCTGCGGCGTGGCGCGTAGGCGCGACAAAGAAATTCAGATGAAGGTCACTTTACCAATGGAAAGAGGCTCGAAACGAAGAGGGATGAGTAGGAGGGGGGGGGGAGAGGGAAGGGAGAGAGGCTGGGGGAAAGGGCGACGAAACAAGAGGCGATCCACCAGGCCGGGGGACGGCGGTGGTTTTCCACCCTCCGGTGGCTCGATCGGCGAATAAATTTCATTCAGGTGACATGTTCTCTCTCTCGATGAGAGAAGGCCATGCTCTGATACGCGTTGATTGCAAATTAGTTGATTTTATGCGATCGTGGAGCGCGATTAACGCGCCCGTCCCTTTCGAGTGGACTCGCTGCTGAATCGATTTACACGAGATGTTACTTTTTTTCGAGTACTTTGAAGTAGAAAAACTGGAGTTAGATCGGCAGAGAGAAAGAGAGAAAGAAGAGTTGATTATTCCAAGAAGAGGAGACGAATGGCTCCGTTGATTATATATATAACGGCGTAAGAGATGACGTCGAGGAAAGAGAGTAATTCGCTCACGAATAATAGTTCGGATCGGGAAAAGTTATGTGAAAAAATGTTCGATCGAAGCAACGCAGCGGAAGAGATACGGATGCTTTTAAGCAATCTTGTACAATTCCGCGAAAACGAAACACCAAACGAAGGAGATATGTACCACGTTTCGAAACTCATCCTCCGAGTGTACGTGCCGATTCTTTTGCGAAACGCGAATGGCTTTAAATGCATTCCAAAGATGATCGCGATCGGTGGAGAAAGACGTCGATATAGCGGAACGGTGCATCGATGCATCACGATAGCTGTACGTACGGATTTTAATTGTATCTTTTCGAAGAACTCGTTACATTGACATAAATGAATATTTATCAACCACTTCTCCGGCAGCTTCATTCGGCACATTCGAAATCTAGTCCCTCGTGCTAGAAAGGTGAATGGAGGATGGTTCGAGCGACTGTATAGGAGTGTTTACCAACTACTCGCGCGGGTCCTTCAACTTTCTTCGATCGCCTTCACGTTGCCGCGAATTACGTAAATTATCAACAGCATCCGTGTTTCTAGCTCGTTCCGCCTCCGTAGCCGACTGTTTCGACTCGTTCGTTTCCGACCAGCGCGAGATACGCATGGAATCAGCACGCGAAATCATAAGCCCAAATGTTCGTCTATAATTCACCGGATTACTCCAGCGTGAAGCTGATTTTACCAGTCAGCGTTTTATCGCGAAGAGAAAAAGAGAAGAAAGAGAGAGAGAAAGAGAGAGAGAAAGGAGAAGAAAAGGTCCGGAGAGGGAGGATAGCTGGTTGGAATTATTTAACAGAGATATAAACCAGGCCTTGGGAAAAAGTTTCGAGATACTCGGCTACAGTTCCGCGGTTCACCGAGTGTAACATCGTCTATTCCACGAGTTTTCATCAAATAATCATTCGATCCTAGTGCCGTCA